TGGCTATTAAGCTTTATCCTGTGAAAGAAAAGTAGTGAATGCTGAAGATGTTAAAGCTGCAATGCTACACATTCCGAAGACCTCTAAAGAAGATAGAAAAGAAATAAGATTTCAACAAGATGCCATTCAACTATCATCATATGCATCTCGGATTAAACAGAAGAAGCAAGGATTTATTGCTCGTAGCTTGATCAAGAAGAAGACTACAAGATGTTATTCAAATTTCAATCACATACATCTTGGTAGATCTCAAAAGAAGCAAGGAGTTGTTTCTCGTAGCTTGCTCAAGAAGAAGAAGACTATAATATGTTATTCAACTTTCAATCACATACATCTTGGTAGATCTCAGAAAAAGCAAGGAGTTGTTGCTCGTAGCTTGCTCAACAAGAAGATGAAGAAGAACACTACAAGATGCTACTCAACTTCTGATCATATACATCTTTGTAGAACATTGTAATGAACACTAGATTTGTTGCTCGTATATTTTTTTTGTTCATATCTCTTCACATAAATTGTTTTAACACTTGAGTTGTTGCTCGAAAAGGTGTTAAACAATATGTGCTTAAAACACTTGTGTAATATTCTTAGAAGAAGCATTCATATAAACACAATATCACCATTAATTGATGTTGATTGATTCCTTGGAAGACTTGGTGAAATTAGGATCTCAAGAAGATAATGGTTGCATTCATTATGGGTAATCTTGATAGGAGATCTTGCAGGATCAGATTATGTTGGGTCAATGGTAGTCATATCTCAAAGGGGGTCGAGTGAAGGTCAGACTCTTGTGAGATCACTGATGGATATCATTGAAAGGAAATCATGGTAGGAGATCTTGAGGGATTGAATTCTATTGGGTTAATAAACGTTATATCTGGTTGGATAACTGAATGTGTCATTGTGTGTTAGTCACCGGTGGTTGCCCGTGTAAGTGTGATCAGTTTGGTTATAGTGGATAAAGTCCTTGGGTAAGGCGAAATCATCCATGCGGGGGTGGACAAGAGTATCCTAATTAACAACAAACCCGAATAAAATACTTGTGTTATTTTCTCTTCATTGTCTTTATAGCTATTATCATTTGAGCGCTTAGAATTTCTAAAGGGGAGTTTTTTCTAAGAACACAATTCAAACCCCCCTTTCTTGTGTTTTCTCCACCTTCAGCCTTTACGTGTGTATATTGACCAAACTCGGCATGATGACGTCCTCTGGATTCCATACACTAGTCACCAGGAAAAAATTCCATTCAGCCATATTTCGTTATACTCTAGATGGTTGGCATGTGAGACTTATATCATTTGCAAATATTTGCCCGAGCCGTGCATGCAGTAGTTTGGATACGTGCGAATCATTTTAAGGTCCCCCTTTCAAACTACTCCTGCGAGCATTACCCGCAGACAGCCGAATGGCATTCTGGCAAATTTTGAGGCATGTCTGGTACTAGAGGAGTATCGAAGTCAGGAAGCTATATCTTAGTGGTCTTATATGGAGGGTTACATGACTTAGTTCTATTATGTGTCACACACTTACATGACACAAGACGCTCTTGAACATCCACCCAGGCCTGCTCGTGAGGAGATCTTGGAGAATGAGCAGGCCAAGGATGAACATGTCATTGATGTGTTGCCGAGATGTTATAACATTATGCGGATGATAGAAGAGGGCATGGGGTTTGGCCTGTTTGAGAGAGGTGGAGATGATGTTGTTGAGCTTGTACGTTCCATTCTTATCGAGACATATAATGTCTTGGGTTACCGCGGGCAGAGGAGGAACCGGGGTGTCAGTATTAGGCATACTCAGTATATTATGTATTTGTTTGTATTTTGTATAATTTTCATCGACTTGGAGAACAATTTCTGTAATATGATTGTCTTTCATATTAATTAACGCATTACTCTATTAAATGATATTCATTTTTATTAATCTTTGAAACAAATAACGCCAATGTTAATCGAATTAAAATTAGTTTGGACTGAAAACAACACAATCACAATTAAAATAAGTCTGGAAAAAATATACATGCAAGAATTCAAGATTTATCTCCGAATTTGCTCCACACATGGTTCGCATTTACATCTCCGGACTCTTTCCTTAAGAAATATGGTGGTTGTTTCATTTATAAAGGAGCAAGGTGATTTCGAAGATGTATCTGCGAATAAACCTTGGGTTAATTCGCAGATACATCTCCAAACTAAATTTTTTCAAAAAAATAGAATTGGTGCATCGAATTAACCCAATGATATTTTTGGATTTTTCGGAGGTGTGCCCCATTCTTTAAGTGTGAGAGGAGAAATTATCTATTTTTTTTTTTTTTTGCAAAATCAAGATTTTAGACTCGAATCTTTTAATATGTTTGTCACGCTCCTTTTTTTACGGGCGTATATATATATATATATATATATATATATATATATATATATATATATATATATATATATATATATATATATATATATATATATATATATATATATATATATATATATATATATATATATATATATATATATATATATATATATATATATATATAAGCGTTAAAAGTGTGATGCTCGTATGCCCATCTCGCCTTGCCCTAATTTTTTTGTTGGGAGAACTAATATTTTAGATTTGCACTCTCAACAATGTCTATCTATCATATATATTTTTAGTAGATTTATTAGGAACAAATTTAAACGGAACATACATTCCTTTTTAGTTAGCATTTTGTCTTGATTAAAATTAGTTTTTTTACGAGGAAACTAAATAGATAAAAATTTATTGTCACTTTATTAAAGAAAATAACATTATTGAAATCTATTAGATAAAGTAAAATATCAATTATTTGATTTCTTTCATCACCGATATATAATCCATTGGATCGATTAATTTGATTCAGAAATCTATTTTAGTTATTTGATTTTTAATTTATTTATATTCATGTAATTTTTTATTTTTTTTTATTTTTACTTTTTCTCTCTATTATTTTTAAATGGGTTAAATGCATTCTACCTTTGTAATAACAACGAGATTTGATTTATCCTCATTAAAAAAAAAATCTTTTCGCCCCTCAACAAATATAGATTCCTTCACCATAACTCTGGGTGACTATTGCACCCAGAATCTTCCTACGTGGCGTCCCATGTGGCTTTTTTAGAAAAAATTTCCTTTATTTAAATAATGACATGTAAATATTCTTTTCATGTGGTTTTTTTCTTCCAATTTTTCCTTTAATTAAATAATGTCATGTAAATATTCTTTGAAAACATAGAAAAATAATCTCAAAAAATTGCTTCATATGAGATTCAAACCCAAGATCATTTGTGTGTATGACTAGCGCACAACCACTAGGTTAACTGTTTTTGTTTGTAAGTTCTTCCCTAAAATATTTAGTTGTTTCAATATTCTGCAAGTGTTTGTAAAAAGTGGGGGTTGTGTTTTTCGTTTTCTGTTTGTGAGAGGTATTAGGCTAAACTTTAGTAAACGTAACAAGGTTGTAATCTAGACAGATTTCAGTCAAATTAATACCCCAAATTAACCATAAGTAGAATGTGATAGTGAAACCAAGTCCAAGAAAACAGAAAGATAAATCAAGCTTAACAATAGAAAGTAAATGATAAAAGTAGAAGCTCCAGTTAGTTTAAAATTTTCACTGCAGCTATGAGATACCAATGGAGTATAGCACAAGTGGTTGGTGTGCAGGATGTTTGAGATTGTAAAACTTGGATACTGAATTTGATTTCTAATCATATAAAAAGTTAAGATGCACTATAAACAAAAAACATAACTCCATATTGTTGTTTCTGAAGTTTCAAAACTATACAAGAGATAGAAGTGACTGATGAAAATATTAGTCATACGTTAAAACTGAGACAAAGATGAGTAATATTAAAGTGAGTAGTATACAAATTAAAATACATAGTACAATGATTAAATACTTGACTTGCAAGTAGAATGTCAAGGGTTCAAAATACATCTAATACATATTTTTAACAATGCAAAGATAGAAGACATTTAACCCTTTTTAAAATGATCAAATGTCAATTTAAAATATAAATTAATCATTTTATACTACTAAATCTAATTTGTCAAAACCATTCTCCACCAAAAATGATAGACAAGAAATTATTGTATTTCTTAGCTCCATTCATAGTCAAAGTCAAAATCAGCATAAACCTCTTCCCAGTTCCCACTCTCAAAGGCAGAAGAAATAGAATAACGAAAAATGCTCTCATAATCTTTCTCAGATACTGAAAATAGAACTCAAGTGTCGGATCAAACCTCCATTTGTCAGTCTTCATCTCTCTGCAACAATATATCTGCACTCTGCAAGACACAGATTCATCCTAAACACAAAAACAGAAAAATCAAACTCCACTTTTTTTGTATTCCCTTCAAAATACACACCAAAGACAAATTTCAATACTATAAAAATAATATTAATAATTTTCTACTATACTATACTAGTACTCTAGTAGTACTAGTACTGTGAAACTGGTGCCGTAGATAGGTAGACTTTAGTAGTAGATGCTGCTATAGCAGTAAACTTAATATTATTTTATTACAAACCCCATGCTGTTTTTTTTTTCTGCTACTATTTCACTGGAGAGTGGTATTTCCCAAGCAAATGCACAAAGACAAATACCGCAGGTTCTTTCATCTCTCACTATCTTTTTCATTTTTTATTGTTTTTTTCTCTCTCAACTGTCTTGTCTCACTGTCTTTTCTCAAGTGCTCTAACCCTTCCCCACTCCCTCAAAGACAAATTTTGCAGGCTTTTCTGTCAGAAACCCTCTCTCTCTTTTCCCTCTCTCAACCACACTGTTACTGTATAGTCTAAAATTCTAAATAAGAAATTTTATAAGGGTGTGAAAAAAAAAGGAAGGTGTAGAAAAAGCTTTTTACATACAGTACTTGGTTTTTACACATCCAACACAAACACTGTCACCAAACCGAGTTAATTTCCTACACACTATTTATCAAAAGTAACACCAAACACAAACAAATTTGCACTCTCTCTCTCCATGGACTTTCATATGAAACAATGGAGAAACCAGCATGAGTCAGAAGAGCATCAACATTCTACAAAGATGCCAAAACTTGCTCTTCAGCCTGCAGATTCTCATCATCAACAACAATCTTCTGTTACTCCTGCAGGTGCACTTCCTTTGTTTGTACCTCAACAAAACAGCACTAAAGTCACCACCAACTTGTCAGATTCCACATTTTCACCTTCTTCCAACAGATCATTTCCTAGTAAGCAAGTTTCTTTTAGAGTAAACTTAACGCATTAGTTACTTTTTTTTCAAGTTTGTTCTCAAAGTTACTCCCTTGTTTGGATTCTTACTTTTTTTTCTTCTCTTTATTAGTAATGGGAAGCCATTTTAGCTTGTCTCAGTGGCAAGAACTTGAGTTACAGGCTTTGATATTCAGGTACATGTTGGTTGGTGCTTCTGTTCCTCCTGAACTTCTTCAACCTATCAAGAAAAGTCTTATCGATTCATCTCCTTATTTCCTTCATCATTATCATCCTACAGCTTGTAAGTTTCATACTACTACAAATACTCTCTCCAATCTTTGCACGATTTTCCATATCACATACTTCAAAACAAAACAAAACAAAAACTCTTTTTTTAGTGTTTTGTGTTATCATTGAATGTGTTTTTTTGTTTGTTTGTATTAGTGTTGCAAACGGGGTATTGGGGAAGAGGAGCAATGGATCCAGAACCCGGTCGTTGCCGGAGAACCGACGGCAAAAAGTGGCGGTGCTCGAGGGATGTGGTGGCTGGACAAAAGTACTGTGAAAGACACATGCATCGTGGTAGAAACCGTTCAAGAAAGCCTGTGGAACTTCCCACACCAACTAGTGCCGGTGCTGGTAGTGCATCTTTCAATGCTTCTTCCACTATTTATTCACAGCCTCTTGCTAATGCCTCTTTGAAATCTCCTTTCAATCTTCTTCACCTTAATGAACGGTAATCTTCTTCTCTTCTCTCTCATCTTTACTTAAATATTGATTAGTAGTATATCCTAATTAGTAATTAGAAGAGGTGTCTGAACATCATTTAATTTAGTGGGGCATGATTTTATTTAAAAAAATGTTAATCTCTCCCTCTCATAATAAATGTATTATTTGAGTTCCGCGTACTTATTAGGAAAATATTAGATGCGTTGATTTTAATGATAAATTTAATATTATTTACTAAAACATCTATATTTATTATAGTTAATATAATAGTTAAATAAATATAAAAGCTAATAAATATAGGTATAATAGTGAAAAATAATAATAAATTTTATATTGATATTTTATAGAAATATTTATTTTGAAACATAAAAAAGATATAAATGAGACAATTATTATCGGATTAGACAATTATTATGAGACCGGTGGGAATACTAGTATTTTCTTTATTTTTAAGATGGTTTCATTGACCTAGAAAAAGTAAGTTTGAATGTGATTCATAACAAATATGAAAGGAGAAGCATTGTGACAAGACTAATGACTAATACCTAACTAGGATACGGATCCCTAATGAGGGAGCATGGCCAGTATGTCTCAAGCTTTGCAAATAATGAAGCTTTGGATTGACACAAATAATCCCCAACCGTTTCTTTCTAAAACTATATTTGGAAAATCATCAATCATGCCATCCATTTGTCTCATGACCACAATTAAGTGTCTCAAGTCATAGAACTAGTACAAATTAGTAACTATATGTGGGTCGGTGTTAAGCTTAGTGACGGGAATTAAGTTAAATAAGTAAGATGTATCGAGTTTAAACTTGTGTCTCTGCAGTTGAATGTCTCTGCACAGTTATTAATTAAATTGATTTAAAGAAGCTTTCAACAACTCATAAGCACTTTATTATAGAGTTGAGTGAGATCAAATTTTGTTTACTATGTTGTCCTTGTTTGATATTTATGATGTCTCATAACTGGGCCATGTGTAGTTCATCTGGGACCAATAATGAAGAGAAGAGATTATTTGAAAGCGAAGATCATGTGGGTGGGGATGGAAGATCAGGTGGGCAAATGCTAAGGCATTTCTTCGACGATTGGCCGAGATCACTGCAAGAGTCTGACAATGGTGGGTCATCCTCCACATGTCTTTCAATATCAAAGCCAGGAAATAATAACAACACCACCACTACTTCTTCTTCAGATGTATCATTGAAATTGTCTACTGGCTATGCTGAAGAACCATGTCCTAGAAATGTAAATGTGGGCCTAGAAACTGATCAACAACAAATTCATTTGAATTGGGTTGGAGGATGGAATTCAGGTAATCAAGGAAGTTCTTCAATGGGAGGAGGACTACTTGCTGACGCACTTAGATCATCATCTACTTCAACTTCTTCACCAACTAGTGTTTTACATCAATTGCCACGTTCTTCTGCTGCTTCTGAGACCAGCTACATTAGTACCTAAGTTTAGTGGTTGGTGCTTTTTATTGACTTGTGTTCTTTTTTTGGGGAATTGTTGGACCACAAAAAACGTTTTGTATCAATGTTATGACATATGTTTGTTGTTGACTTGTTGTTAGGAAAGAAAGGGATCATTGATTCATCAATACTTTCATTATCCTTGATTAACTTCTTGAATTTCATTCTCATGTCCTAAGATGCATTTTGTCGCATCAAAACGTTGTCTCATGAATCCGACAGTTATTGTTTTATTATCTTGATAATGGCATGACTAAAGTAAATACTAAATACTAGTACATGTTATTGTTTTCACATAGAATTAGTAATGCTAGTGTAAGAGCCACTTACTCTTAGTAAGAGCCACTTACTCTTATCTTCCCTCTCCCCTTATTTCCATTCATTTTAACCCCCTTTATTCACTCTTTTCCCTCTCCCCTTATTTCCATTCATTTTAACCCCATTTATTCACTCTTTAACTCTACTTTCTCCTCTCCCTTTGTATTGTGTCCGAGAGGATCCATACTCCAACAGTAACTATAAACCAGTTTTATATTAATATTTAGATTAAGATGTAATTTCAATATTTTAAGTTTTTTCAAATGTGCGATTTTGGGTATGGGAGTTTATCAAATACTATGTGATTGAGAAAATAAGAGATGTATATATGGTGTAAAATAATTTTACACTATCAACTAACAAATATTATGTATTCTACTAAATCACTTTTATATTTTAAAATTATTTAAATGATATGGTAGATTGTTAATTTATTATTGGACGATTGTATAAAATTATTTTTCATTGTCATGTCCATTAAATTCTATGTGATTTTAGTCTTTGATCAAATTTTGACTAGATTTTATTGGTGGGTGAAACAAATAACGTGATATGTATTAGTATTTTTTTTTTAAATTTTGATCCTTTATCATATTTTTCTCTCTTCTTCATTAGTCTCTCATTGTATACTTCACTCTCTTCATTATTTGTGTCACTATCAACAATAAATTCAGGACTATCTAATTTATCAATACATTTGATATGGCGTGGACCTATGGATGGCAATTAGACTCATCCTCGGTGAATATTCGTAAAATTTACCCACAATGGATAGGAGAAAAATCTACAAAATAGGTATGGACACGATCAATTATCTATTAAAATAAGTGGATATGAATGTGGGTGCAAATACCTCAGTACACACCCTGTCCCATACCCGCACAATATATACTTACGTATTTTTATTTTTATTATTATATACATAAGTTAATTTATCAATTTTAGTAAATACATCACTATTAAACTCATTTGCATTTTTAAATAAATGTTTGTTTATGTCTTTCCTCATCAATAACATCCTTGAATTTTTTTAGTGTTATTAAAAACTTAAAATTACATGATAAATTATAATTGATCAATTATTTTTATTAGAAATGAAGGTAAGTATATATGAATTCAAGTACTTAGATACCCATAGGATACAAGTACGGGTATAAATGTTGGTGCCCTCGCGGGTATGAGTTCGGGTATGAAGATTTTTTCAAAACGCTGGTATGAGGACAAGTACTATAATACCTTGTAACATCATTCTAAAATCCCACGAATAAACAACAAAAAGATCAGAGTAATTCACCATTCAAGGGTATCACATCTTCATATAAAACATCATAAGAAAATATTATGCTCCGTCACACGGGTTTTCATGATTGTAAACACATGTTTCTTTAAGAATATCATCGTTAACTCAACACATTGCAGCAGAAATAATATTTCAAAACATCTTTATTAGTACTTCTCAATCAAATTCCATCTCTCAGCATGGTTCGTGAGTTTATACTCCAAAACATCTTAAAACAAAATGAACGTTCTCAAACAACATAACATAAAGAACATATAATTCAAATCAATCGATCCCAAAATCCCAATGTTATATATTAGATCAATACCCTCTTATTTAGTGGAAAGTAATTAAACGCACTCTGAAGCTATCCTCTAAGCTTCAACAAACTATTCATGATCACTTGCAAGTTACTCACAGATAGAGGCAACATTTTCAAACAGAAATGATGAATAATCATAATCATTATAAAAGACATAAGGAATAAATATAGTAGATATGTACATAGGAAAGACATCACACATCATCCGAACCTCATGTTATACTCACATTTTCACAACATCATCAATACACAACAACACCTGTCATCAACATCACTTAATCAAATCATTATGCAATGTCACATATAATATAATGCAACTTCATAGACTCATGCATGTGGTACCAAAATTTCACTAATGACTCAATTATCATTTTCTCCAAAGATCCCACCAATAGGATCAATTTCCACTTGGAACCAGAGCACTTCATAATATTGCACTCAATCCACACTATGAGATTGCTGCCTTCACTGAACTATCGTCCTATTATCATCACTAGACCGAAGTCCTACAACATCAATAGACCGAAGTCCTAACAACATCATGGGTGTCGCGTTTGGGATTTTCAGCGAAGCGTGAAGGAAGCGGAAATAAGAGTCACCATCAATGTTATTTATCCCAAGAGAGGAAGATGAAACACTGAGTAAACCTAAAGGAGGAAAAGAATATGGTCTCACGATCAAGAGAAATGGGTAAGTGTTAGATGACGACGCGTATCTAGAGGGGAGTAAATTGAGGCGCAATTTTTTTATATTCTAGACACAAATATAGAATTTAATTGTTTTCAAAACTTTTTGATGCGGAAGCAATTAACTGGATAAGTCATCTAAAAAACAACTTATTGGAAACTCGGATATACAAATTATGAAAGATAATCTATGAGATAAAATTGAGTAATTTGATCAATACAAACTCAAATCAACAATGCACTTATTTATAATTTGAACATAATCACTTTGCAATGCTATTTCCAAGGCTAAATAATCAAAGAACTAACTTTATCGTTTTATCAAACACTTGGCGTGCAAGTGAATTTTCAAAATTTCTCTTTAAGTAGTGTTGCTATACAAAATCACTTATAATCAAAATTGATTATAAGTTATATCCACATATATTTCAAAAACAGATTTTGAGAGAAAAATTCATACAATTCAAATTACTATCACAATTCTATTTGATAAAAATATTGATAAAATTGAAAGCAAGTAAAAGCGGAAAAGTAAAAACACACAAGGAATTTGTCTACACAATTCCCCACTGTCGTCCTCGCGTGTGGGTACGCCTGCGCCTAATTCCAATGGAACTAGAATAATTCTTATATGCAAAATGTTTAATACAATGGAAGAGTTATAAACAACAATACAAAATTATCCAATTTGGTGCTGATGCTCCTTATTTTAACCTTTGATCTTAAGCTGAAACAATCGGCCGAACCGTCATCCGATATATGAAATATCAATGAAGTCACCATTGAACGTATTTTATCCCGCCGAAAGGGAAAGGTAAACATCGAGAAAACATGAAGAGGATGATCACGGTCTTGCAACCGTAGAGATTGTGTAAGGGAGTCTGTTATACAAGGGGAAGATATTAGCACCCCACACGCTCGTAGTACTCTACAGTATCCACTCTTGTTGTCAAATCTAATGGGTGTGTAAAAATCTATATCTAAGTTGTACAGAGAATGCATGCAAAAGAAAGGAGAAAAGTATGTAGGGAAAATAAAAGTTGTGCTCGCCTGGGCCCTACCCCAATGCCTAGGTATCCCTTTTAAGGAATCAGAGTAGCCGTAGTTCGACTCATATATTTTGGTTGGTTTGTGTTTTTTAGTTAAGGAAATAAAAGCAACAGACAAGATGGAAAAACATCAAATAAAAGAACAAAAATGTCAACAATGATGATAAAATAGCAAAAAGAGATGACAAGACATCGCACGGCAACACAAACTCAGATAAGGTGGTAAAACGCCAACATGATAGCAAAATATCAGACAAGACGATGAAACATTACACCTAACAATGATATTGAAAATCAAAGTAGGATAACAAACACGTGGGATGGCGAAACATCGACTACAAACATGTGCGATAGAGAAACATCAGCTAAGAGATAGGAAGATAACATGGCAAAGATGGCGAAACATCAATAAACCAGAGGACAAAACATCACATCTAACAATGATATTAAGAATCAAAGTAGGATAACAAACATGTGCGATGGAGAAACATCAGCTAAAGAATGTGCGATGGTGAAACATCGGCAAAAGAATATGGGATGAAACATCGGCTAAAAGATGGCAAGATAACATGGCAAAGATGGCGAAACATCAATAAACCAGAGGAAAAAACATCACACCTAACAATGATATTGAGAATCAAAGTAGGATAACAAACATGTGTGTGATACGGTGGGAGAACAGACTTGGGTGTTTTGCATTTGATCGCAATTATGCGGATAGCAAGAGTCGCCACTGACTTTTCTTTTATCCAATAAGGAAAGACTGAAAAGAACAGGAAAGACCTTTAGAGATGTTTTCTTGAGTTCGGGGGATAGATTATGAAAAGGGAAGGTGTTAGCACCCTTTTCGTCCATGGTTTTCCATGGGCTCTTAGTTGATTGCTAGATCACTTGCTTTGTTTTAAAAGTGTGCTTTTGTGTTGTGAGTTTTGAAAGTATTTTAAAAATTTTCTTGTAATGGTTCTTGTTTCTATAAGAACGCGTACAAAGTGTTTGTTTCGAAAATAGTTCAAAGATATGTTTGTGGAGTGTGTTTTTTGAAAGTGTTCTTGGAAAGATGTTTTTATAATGGTTCTCGTCTCTATAAGAACGTATACAAAAAGATTTTGTCTTTTGAAAAGGTTTTAATGTGAAAGTGTTGGTGTAAAATGTTTGGTTGTGAGCAAGCGAGCAACTAGGAGCGAACCTACCTACTCAAAAGGTCTTAAATGTTATTTTCCTCCTCCTTTAGATGTTGATATCTTACTATTTATTCGGTAAGAAGCCCCATCGTTGGATGTGAAGGGACAGGCGCGGGTCGTTTTGTACAGTCATAGAAGGCAACTTGAGATG